CGGCCGCCCGGCTGTGCTGCCGCCCCCCCCCCCCCCCCCCCCCCTCCCCTGTCAATATGTATGCCACTGTACAGTATCTTCCTTGTGTTTATGAATGACATGCTAGTGCAGGCTGTCTTTATGGCATGTGGGAATATTTACTACAGCGTCACAATGGCTCAAAGCAACAACTTGAAAGTGTCATCTCAAACAAACAACACAGGCGAAGCCTACGCTAGCTTGTCTGGATCTCAGTATTTCATTCTTAACACATGAAATAAGATGTACTGAAAATCTAACTTTGCGGTGTCAAGTAGAAACAATCTACAACTACAGTCTGTCACATTCTATTCAAATTACAGAAACACTGTAATTTCCACAGCAGCTCTGTTAACTTGCCGTATATCACGAGGACTGATAATTACAGGTGCTGTAGCTCAGTCTGGGCGAAGTGGAACACCGGAGTGTAAAATGTAGGTGACAAGTTAATTTATGTCGTCAAGCTCCAGAGAAATATCACACAGAGGTGCGATACGTTGGTGAGCTGTGCAGCTGCTCAAATATTTCCATGATGCAAACATGCCTATTGATTATTACATGATTGGTGTTTATTGATTTCCATAGGACCCTTGTCAAATTAGGGTTATACATCCAAACTACAGAATCAGATCTAATTGAGCTTAAAATGGTGTCAGATCTTTCGAAGGTGTTGATTATTCTCTCAGATATTGTTATTAAGTTAGTAAGCATGCAGCTGCCCAAGGATCCCAGAACGCTGCATGTCAACTGGTTTGTGCTATAATTTAATTGACAGTTTATTGTCACAAAAGCACAATATCAGTTGACATGATTAAGGCCAGGTAGGCTGTGCTCTATTACTCAATCTTGAGGCTTGTCTTTTAGCTGCGCTAGTTAATATTTTGGTATCAACAATGGTAGAAATTATGTATAATGTGAAAGGGATCAGTCGTAGTGACAAACCCACAGATAGTTATCAACCGACTGCAGTTCTCCTCAGCTCTACGTAGCGCTTTAGCATCTTTCAGCTCATTGTTTTGGTTTTTCGGTTCATTACTTTACTCGGTTCACTGGTTCGCTGCTTCAATCGCATCAGCATCGTTTACAGATGCAGGAGGCATTCGCTTTCTGCCAAAAGCTTTGATAAACTCACCGTTTGCTCCCTGCCTAGCAACAAACTGCAGACAGACTAAGTAACTTGTAAAAATGGTGGAGAATTTAGCAGCTAAAGAACCGGATGTTTACCTCAGGAGTTCGTGGAGACCATGAACAGTACTAAAAGGACTGAGACTATTGCACAAACTCTACTTCAAATGATTGTTAATCTTGTATCTGCTGGATGTGTAAAGATATTACTGCTTGCTAACTTGTTGGCGATATTAAAAGCCATATTGAGTATACTATGTAGCATTGTAGGTTGCTGTTTGTAAACACGCAGCATTTAGAGTTGGCCAGAGAGAGAGAGAGAGAGCGAGAGAGAGAGAACATAGATTTTCTAGCAGCAAGATTGTTTATGAAGAAAGGGCGGGGACATTAGCAGGAAACAAGCTGTAGAACACACCCACAGCTCCGCACAACCCTGCGGGAAGATGCCGGATTTTGAAGGAATGCAGCGGAAGCGCAGGTTTAATCCTGTAGCTGTGGCCAACCCATTGGTCGTCAGACGCCACCGCTTTATATCATAGATGCTGAAGGGTGCCTCGGTATTGGATGCGTGACAGTCGCGACTTGGGATGGGAACGGGCTACACACCCTGTGCTCTTCACACCCATGTGGGGCCCAAAAGCTCTTTGCTGACGTCCAAAAACATCCCAACCACAGCAAAATGATAAGAAAAGAGAGAATACAGGCAGAGGGCAGGGTCTCTGCCAATACAGACACAACTACACACTTCTAGTGGGTCAAACGATTGTGATTGTATCAGTCAAGACATTGTTTCTCAAGAAAATGCTGCAAACAATACCTTAAGTAGCATACAATAAGGTGATTATATGTCAATGTTGTTTTTATGGTTTGCTGTGCTGCCCTATATTGGCCAAATACATTCCATTATTGCAGGTTTAAAGAGGGTGTGCAACAAAATGGTAGACCGTCAGTTTTAATCAAATTAGCACACAGCAAAAAAAAAACTGCACACTGCACAAAAAGGGAAAGGGGCAGCTTTATTTCCCCCTCAGGTTAATCGGCCATGTTGGTAAGCACGTGGCTGCTTGGTGGTGCAGTAATTTACAAGGCGACGTGTGTTGTCTCCGTGCCTGCATGCATGTCAAGCCTGAGAGCTGTACCCAACCACAGCCAGGCGGCGTGTCTTTGCCAGATCCCACTTGTCCATTAGACTCCAGTGCTTCCTCCTCTCTCATTTCTGGTGAAAAAAAACAAGGCGTCTTTCCAGCACTGCAGACATCTCGCCCAGCAATCTGAGGAAAGCCCTGCCGCTGGGATATGAAGAGAGAGAAAGAGAGACAGATTGTTCTGCTGTCTGTAGTGTGCTAACAGGATCTTATAGTAGCATGATTCACATCCACAACTACATGTACACCGGCCAGAAAAAGGGATTTAACTATGCATTACTGCAGCTAAAGAAATGCGTTTTAATTCCTCTGCAGATGCTCGGATTAATGGTTTTATACACATGGTGTGTGCAGTGTTTGTGCGAGTGTATGACAGCAGACAGTTTGTGATGTGTGTGTGTGTGTGTGTGTGTGTCAGGGTTTTGACTGGCACAAGCCACGCTATATGTCACGGTGCTGGAAGCACATCAGCGGGATGTCAGAGAACGAGCTGCTTTTTGACTCTATACGTGATACACGAGCAGCTATCCATTATGAATGCTGCAGTGCCACTTATTTTATTAGCTGAACCCCTGCTTTCCAAATACTCTCCCTAAATAACATGCGTAGAAATTGCGTTTTTGCTTGGATGAGGAGGAAAAGAGTCCTCCCATGAGATGTCAGACACGTAACAAAGTATGTCATCCCTATTTCAGGGCTAGCTGCGCCGCTGTCGACTATTGTTGATTTGTCTGCTGCTTGCAGGTAATGCTTTCTGAGGCCTAAGAGAGCGGATGCAGCGAGTGTCATGGCTTGTCTTGAGCATTGTCGGTTTGTTGTCGTTTGCACGAGTCCAATTGAATTCAACACGGCTATTCCTCGAGGAGTTCCCGCTGTGATATGGCGAGGCACAGAGACATCTGGGTACCTACTGACCACTTAACTGCCTGCACTCTGTCAATAACTCTTTAAAAAGATCAATTAGGGCGATCAGTGGCGAGAGCGCCACCGGGGCTGAGGTGCCATATTGAGCTGTTTCTGTGAAATGATGTCACACGCAGCTCTTTCCCAGAGAAAGAGCCTCACCCCTCCAGACATTTGACTTCATTAAAGGGGTGTTCTCCTCAAACCGGAGCAATAAACTCAGCAATAAGCTGCTTCTCTCTTATCTGCCTCGTCTGTGCCTGGAGAGGTGGGGAGTCCTCGCAGTGTCCAGCCAGCCGTCTCATTGAAAGTGTTCTGACTGAAACATCGAGCCATAAAAATCGATTTAGATAGCGACAGTTTCTTTCATTTATCGTTCGCTCACCTTTTTGCCCTTGTGAAATGTCCGTTTACACATTTTACAACCTGATTGATTACATGCTGCTGTTTTCAGTCCATTGTGTTCTTTTATCCTCACTGCCATCGAGTGCTTTTTCGCCCTCCGTGATAAATGCGGTTGTCATGATGCCCGTGGCAGCCAGTGAGCTCAGGCGGTGATGGACAGGCCCGGTCCACGGCAAGCTGACCTTTCACCTCCTAACCTTTCTTCCATGCTGATTATTAATCCTACTTACAGTGCACTTCCTGTGTCCCTCCATCGCAAATTAACCTTTCTCTTCTTGTCTCTCTGTCCCTCTCCTTTCAACACCCCCTTCCTGTCCCCCCCCCCCCTCCTGTTATTCCTCCTGCAGCAAACTCATTCACGTGAAAATTATTGACGATGAGGAGTATGAGAAAAACAAGAACTTCTTCCTGGAGCTGGCCGAGCCTCGCATGGTAGACATGAGTCTGCAGAAAGGTGCGGTAACTGAACCTGTTTCTTCTTCTCTTATCACTTTCTCTGTCTCTCGCACGTTGTCAGTGTCTTTTCTCTCGCTGTTAGTAGCCTCCGTCCCTCCCCAGGCCTCTTTGTCTCGTCTTTGTCCACTTCTTTTACCTGAACTCTCACTCTGCTGTATCCACCACCGCCTCCCTCTACTTCCACACACACCGCCGTGCACCCAAGGACTCTCCGTCTCACGCTTTCGCATTACACCTAAAACGTAAACCACAAACGCTCCATCACCATCATAATGACAGTCTCCCCAGACGATGTCTTCATCTGCATAAAAAGAGAACAGAAAGTCTAGGAGCTGCTATCATTTACCATCTCCACGGAGCAAGTACAGCCATTATCATGTAAAGACACGTTTTACCTAAATGCAGAGTCTAGTAGCTATTTTTAAGTATGCGCCTGCTTGGGTGAAAAATACAAGCAAATTGCTGTTGGTGAAATGAGATTATTGATTTACTTTTTGCTATAAGACCATGTAGCTCACAGGACTGTTTGAATTTAATAGTTTGTTTGAAAGTCTAACTTTCTGAACAAGCTCCTTTTCCTGATGGTATCTTGTGCGGCTCATATTGAGGTCATGTATTGTTACGATTGTATTCCACTGCACACCGAGCTTGTCTTTAGGCGTCTTTTTTTTGCAGCAAGGTGGATATAGAAATAAAAAAGTAGGACGCGGAGGTATTCAAATCAGAGTGAGTTTTCATCATAAGTTTTGTTTATTTTCTTGTTGTTAATGTCTGCTGAAAGACGCCAACAGGCTTTTTGTGCACCGTTATCTAATGCGGTGTTATCTAACCATGCTCAAGGCCAGGCGACGGGAGAGGCTCACAAGCTGGTGCGGAGGGTGCAGAATGTTATTGGGTCTGGCAACGCTGTCTGAGTTGCGCCGGCTCCCTGTGTTCTCAGAGTAAGAGTCATGATGAAGAGGAGTTACTATGCAGGTGTTTATGAGTGACAGCTGCATCACTCCAAACACCCCTCTGCTGCTCTATGATGCTTCTCGGTTTTCTTTTTTTTAAATTTTCTTCCTGCTTCGGTGCAGATTTTACACACACACACGCTGGTAAACACACACGAAAGCTCTTTTTAGCTGTTTGTAATATCAGTAAACTCGGATGTTAAACTTAGGTGTTTATTTCTCTGAACAAGAGCTAAACTAAATGTCTACAACGTAAAATTGAATGTTAACGGATGCATATATACTCAGACAAATGCACAATTGCATTCAAAATGTCTTATTATATTGGTTGGCATATTCATTAACTATTTATTTCAAACAACTTTTGTCGTCTTGGCCCCCGCCATCTTGTTCATTTGCGACCAGAAGTGACACATAGGGTGGAGCTAAGTACAACCGGACGCTTTAGGCAACCAAAAAGCTTTCATGAACTGAAAACACGCTGTGAAAGGATTAAAGTTGTAAGACGAGAACCAGGACAACTCCCAGATGTCGTTATAGCGACCTGTCAATCAGAAGGTAGCCCCGCCCTAAAGCATACCCTGCTTTATCTATTTTACTCTTAATGGGAATATAATTTACGAAATGAACATCATTCTGTTTTGAAGAAGACTTGAAACTAGCGATTGAGAACATAAACTCATGTTTACAATGTTTACTGAGGTAATAAATCAAATGAGACGTATATCAGACTTCTTTTTGCAATTAGAGGAGTCGCCCCCTGCTGGTCAATAGAAAGAATGCAAGTTTAAGGCTCTTCCAAATTGGCTTCACCTTTCAGACCCCCAGTGGTTGCTGCCTTGACAAACTAAGCTACATAAGCTGTCTGCTAGCTGGAGCCTCATATTTAACATTCAGATATGAGAATGTAAGTGTGTTCTGAATTCTTCCAAGAGGAGATTTTCCTGCCCTTGTGAGAACATATATGCAGTGGTTACTGGTTGATTCGGCCTGCAGTCTCTCCCTAGTAACCCCGAAAATCCTCCAGAAATATTTTTCAGTCCACATTTAACGAGTGAAACAGTCACTCACAAAAAAAAAAGAACCATACAATGCAAACACACATGCCATTCTTCATTCCTGGCAGCCGTCGCAGGTTTCTGCAGCGGGATTGTTGAGTTCAGTGCACCGAACACGAGTCAGGATTGTTACAGACAGAATAGGTGTAGAGGAAGCGTAGGAAGAGAGAGGTATCTGCTCCGACGGAGGGAGAGATGGAGATAGGTAACGACGGCTGGAGCTAAGGATGACACATGCCAATGGCCAGGTTTAGTCTGAAGAGATCAAAAACAAAGCTTCTTTGTTGAGGTCATACCCTGACGGGGAAAATAAAGTGAAGCCTTGTGTGTGTGTGTGTGTGTTATTTCTGGGTCCAGGAGCTCAGAGCATCCTGGGATTCCTGTATATGTAGACGTAACATACATACGAAACACTGTATTTCAAACTACATCCAGTTGAGGTTGTTTTTTTCTGTCATCATGGAGCGGGACACAGTGAAACACCTTTGCACCCGTTTCCTTGTCGTCGTATTTGTGCATATTTATTGCACAATCTGATCAGAATGTTTCTCACTCTGACACCAGAAAGATGACAACAGAACTGTGGCGCTAATGAAAGTGCAGACAGTGTTGACAATGAGTAATACGTGGACTTTCTTTTTTTAATGCAGGAGGTAATGAATGTTTGATCAAGGGTAATAAATGTGTGATCCATATATGATGAGGAGGTAATGAAAAAGCTTTTCTGCATTATTTCCCAAGCAGGATCATCTTTTATGAATGTGCTCGTGCTGATGGAATTGCTTTGATTCGAAATAATAGAAAAGGCGAGCCGGTGTTTAGCAGAGGGGTTAAATATATTCTCCTGTTGCCACAGTAGGTGCTGCTGGATCGCAGTGATGTGAATGATATGATAATTTCTCACTTTTCATATATAATGTGCCGATTATATTGTTGTTCATAACCGCTGATGTGGGGCTGATTGGGTTTGTTTTTCTCCTTATTAAAGCCGGAGTGGAGGAGCAGAATTGATGAATATTCTATGAGAGTCTTTGTTTTATTTGGCTTTTCTTTTCATATTTAACAGCCTTGCTCCATTTTCCGTCGCAGCCTTTCCATCAACAGCACTATGCAACAAAAGACTTGTTTTTTTTTACAGATTATTTCTCTATTATAGATGACCGAAATAGAAGCACCAAAATAATTCTCAGATCTCACTTTAACTCTCTGATGTTTTTTTTTATGTATTACGAGCAGTTGCATCACTTATTGTAACTTTTTACAGATTTGTTGGGATGCTGATAGCAGAAGCTGGCAGATGTGAGCGGGTCCTAAGGCGACAGGTCTGACTTTGGACAGTGTGTGAGTAATGAAAGCAATCAAGCCAACAGTCACCCCGACCTGTCAGTCTGGAGTTGTTTACTGCCGGCTCCAGCTATGCCCTTCTCTAACATACTGAAGTGGTCAATACCATTAGCACCTCTGGTGAGGTGGCCACTCAACTGCTGCTGCTGCTGCTGCAACACAACACTGCAGAGCCAGAGTGAGAGGCACTTCCAAGTCTGCACATGGCAGTACAGGACTTTATTCTGGAGACATGTTGATGTCCCTGCCATGATGAGTTTGAAGAGTTTTATTCAAGCGGTGATACATTTCTTTGATTCTTTTGGTTCATTTGGGCAGGTGCCAACATTTCCACTCTCACTTGACATCAGTCAGCTAAACAAAGACCCGTTTTCCACCAAAATGAACACTTATACACTTTTTTCTTCTCAAACAACGAAAAGACAGACACAAATAATCGATAGACTCCTTTGTCATTGGCAGCAGACGAGTATGCCTTTCGCTGGTGGGTCACGTTCGTCGTCACAAATGACCCAGAGAACAGAATGTTGCAGTGGTTACTTCTTATTTATATCTGTTACTCATTCAGTTTGTCTTTCAAACTCTCAAACTAGAGTTGGTGGTTGTTGGAACAGTATAGAGGCTAGCAAAAACGATTTTGATGAGTTATATTTAGTTTCTGTTGAGTTTGAGTCGTGTTTTTTACTCTCAGCGGAGTCTGTGAGGAGCACATATAACGGCGGTTTCTTTTCATATCTAACTCGGTGAATAAAAGGGTTCATTTAAACTAAACCAGAGTTGGTCATTCTTAGAAAAGCGGAAAGACTTTCGACTTGCGTAATATAGCATCACGACGGAAAAGGGGTGAAAATGAGCGTGTCCTCCCGGGTGTCATCTTTCCATCACTGCAGATCGAGGTGATAAATACCTGTGACTACTGCAGAGTCATTTGACCCTTCGCTAAGCCCCGCCCCAAGCTGTCAGAGCTACCGAGGAGCCCACAGTATCACTAACTGCACTCCCTGAAGAAATATTATAACATACACTACAATATGTGTTTGACCCTGATTGGACAACTATCCTAAAAAGATTCACAAAACCCAAAAAGGATTCACTTGATAATACTGTAATAGTGTAATAGTATGTCAGGACAAACCACAAATCCTCACATTTGAGAAGCTGAACGAAGTGAACGTTTGGCATTTCTGCTCGGTGCTGAATGACCCGTTACTTATTTTTGTAGTTTGTTCTGAGTAAGGGATATTCAGCAGAATAAGATGCAGTAAATAAATGATGAGTCTTCTTCCTGAGGCTGAATATTCTCATGGCAAGGTCTGAAGTACACACACTTGTGCTGAAAACGTGTCAAGAATGGACAGAATGCGGAAAAAAAGAGGAGCGGGAGGACCAAGTGTCTAAAGAAATCAGTAGATCAGCGGAAGTGTTGGTTAGGCTCTGAAGTGTAGGACCTTCAAATGACACTGCAAAACGTGTGCTACAAAGCAGTCGTTGGCAGCATCATCATTCTTGTACGGCGGCGCGTTAACATCGTGTTGTGAGGCCTCGTGCACCTCATTGTGCTTCTATCCGCGTGTGCATGAAACTGAACGAGAAGCAACATGACAGTGAGAATTCTGGAAGTGTTTTATTAACACGTGCGCGTG